GAATAGTTTTTGTCTTCTAGAATGGTTTTTCTGATAAATTTGTTTATATCTTTGGAAGTGAAATTCTTTCCTTTGACTAAATCATACAATGATTCACAGAAATAATATTTGCTATTAACTTCAATCTAGTTCAAATCAATTTTATTTTGTATAATCTTATTGTCTAATCGAAGATTGTAATTCTTCCAATTATTCGTCCAATCTTCTAAATTATCAGTCAATTTTGGTATAGTTGGATCATAAGACAGTGTGACTTGATTAATGATTCGATTAATATGACTAATATATTTGTTGATAAAAGTTGGTTGCTTTTTGTTCATCGTCATTTTTTATTACAAACGTAGTATGTATCACAATTTTGACAAGTAATAAATGTGACAAAGGAATGTTTTGATACGATAAAATTAGTTAAACTGAAAAGTAACAAACTGAATAATATTGGTAGATCTTTGAATATTTATTAATATATATAATGATTATGTTGTAGAACTTATCCTGCATAATGATAGATTTATTACCAAAAAAAAAAATTTGTTAATAAAAAGAATAAATTTGGTTAGTTAACTATTTAACGCTAACGTAGTCTAATTGTTTAAAGAGTTTCTATTCGTCATAATATGTCCTCTAGTTATTTTTTTGCTTTAATTTTTTATAATTAGCAATTATTTAGGTTTAGTCACAAGAATGAATTTTGGGGCCAGAATACGAATTTAGGAAAGGTAAGACAAAAAAAATTTAGAAAAATTATTGACTTTTATGACAACAGAGAGAACTAGAAAAAAAATTCCAAATTTACGTAGTTTTGATTAGAAAAAATTAATATGAATAATAGAAAAATAAGAACAAAATGTAAAAATTTTTATAATCGAGTTAATCTATTTATTTTTAATATGGCACAAAACCAGAATAATCTGGATGTCCGAACCCACGATGTCTAGCAAAAATTCCAGAAAAAATATCTTTTATTCATTGTGATATTATATTCCAATTAGATTGGTCGATACCAAAAGTTCTATGCACAATTGGCTCATAAGGATCGGTATATAAATATAAATGCTTCGAACTATAAAAATTCGATAAAATTATTGTAATCTCAACAAATAATATAACAATAAGAATCTTTCTTGCATATGTCTTATGAGAAATCATTTTCAATATTTTAAATAACAAAAATTCTAAAAAATTACCATATCTTTATATATTTTAAAATAGATCGTGTACAATTGAATAACAGATCAGCATTATATTATAAAATCTATGATTATACAGAACTCAGAGTTTCATTTTATTTTGTAAAATAGATAATAAGAATATTCACAGCAAAGATGGAGAAGATAGCATAAATTAAATTAATTATCTCTTATTTGAAAAGTACATTCATGAAAAATAAAACATTGAACAAAGCCTTTTGCAATAGTATGCTACAACTTTCTTGGAATTCTATTGCATAGAATTTATAGTTTTTTACATATTTGTATGCTGAAAATTTAAATTAAAAAATACTCACGTTTTATTTTAATGCTTTGTAAAATAGATAATACGAATAACCATGGCTGGCAAAGATAGCAGTATAAAAACTAAATTGTTTTAATTATTTCTCTTATTTGAATAAGTTCATTTATGATAAAAAATAATTGAACAAAGCTTTTTGAAATAGCGAATGAAGAATTGGAACATTTAACTTTGTTTATATCATTAAATTCATAGTCGTAGATATATTGATTATTATTAATATTTTCATATATTTTTATGCTGAAAATTTTTAATTAAAAAATTATATCAGATATGTTTTAACACGTATAATTGTGTAACAGATTAATATTAATCTTTATCATAAAATGCTGTATATCATACTTAACTTGGAGTTTCATTTTAATGTTTTGTAAAATAGGTAATATGAATAACCGCAGCTGGCAAAGATAGCATAAAAACAAAATTGTTTAATTATTTTTCTTATTTGAACAAGTTTATTTATGAAAAAATGTATTAAAAGAATTGTAAAATCTAGTTTTCAGAATTGACTAAAAATTACAATTACAAAATGTCAAGTAAAAACAGTTTAAAGCTCTTAGCATTATTGCTAAAATTCGCCTATACAGCTACCACTACTATTTTTTCTTCTTTTATTCTTCTATTGCTGAAAATTACTTATATAATTTTCCTGATTTTAATTTTTTTGACTTCTTTAATCATTGCTACTTTGATTTTCACATTGTTGATTTTAATAGTAAATATGATTCATCCCTTTTTGTTCCCTGTTCTCGCTATCGGGTTTTCCTTCTTATTTACGAGGACTATCTACAAATCTGAATCTATTTGCTCAGATAATAGTGAAAAAATCGAAGATCGGCAATTCACAAATGATGCAAATTATGAAGTTTCTTATCTAGTTTATAATACTATGAAAAATATTATAAATTCATCAGAACGAACATCTTTTTTCATTGAGAAGATCTTAAAACTTAGAGAAAATTTGAAATATTCCCTTATCATTGAAACTTCATATAAATCCCAAATTTCTTGTTCTAATTATAAACTAAGAAATAATAAAATAGACCAAAATATATACTCTACGTTATTTTACTGTCGATCAAATAGAATGATTAATGATAACTTTTCTCAATCTCACAATTTTGAAGTTATCAAAATAACAGAAAATTTGCCCTCTCTTCATAATAATCAATTTTATAAAGTGCCATCTCCTGAGAATCTTATTATAGGTTTGCATTATAGTGGTTACT